AAGACGAAGACGAGTTGGTATCTGACGCTGAAGAATTCGCAGAGCGTGCTGAGGAAGCCCGTCAGCTCGCGCGACTACACATCGGCCAGCAACAGCAGGCAGACGCACGGCGCTATAACATCCGCCACAGAGAACTCTCTTACAACCCCGGAGACCAAGTTTGGGTGTGGACGGCCGTTCGCCGCCGTGGCCTTAGTGAAAAGTTACTGAGCTGGTACTTTGGCTCATATAAAGTGTTACGCCGCATCAGTGACGTGAACTACGAAGTGGTTCCGGACTCAACACCGCAGGCACGGAGCAGGTCACGGCCAAGGCAAGACGTCGTTCATGTGTTGCGCATGAAACCATTTATAGCGCGTTGTTCGTAACTTTTCTTTACCGTACACCGTTCTTTGGGTTTCTTATTTATTTTTGTGAACTTGGTTCTTCGTTCAATGAATTTCCCTATATTGGCACGCTCTTTAATTTCTACTTTCACTTTATAGAATTTCCAATTTCTTCTTTTTTTTTCACGTGCCTATGTTGTATCATCAAGGTGGTGCTATGTACTAGTTTTTCCCTTTTTTGGGACATTTTTTTTAAAGCGGGGATAATGCCACCCGCACGTAGTGGGTCGACAGCAAGAGCGGCTCTCAATCTGGAGAAAATAAAGCAGATCGCGTGCTTCTTCTCTGCTCGAGAACCAGCGTCGACTGACGCATCGTTCTGGAGCTAGCTACTCCGTGGTTTAATACCCCCCCCCCCCCCATTACTTGCGATTTATCGTGAAAATATCCACGAGGAGAATGGTGAGTGGGGCGAGGTGGATGGACAAACGCACGGACAGACGCATGGGCAGACGCACGGATGGACGGATGGACGCGCGGGACCATGGATGGCCTGACGGACGCTACGCCCCACTCATCATCATTCACTCCGCAAATATTCTGTAACACCGCTTTTGTTGACATGCAATGCAATGCAACTGGTTACTACGACGACTGGCTAGGACGACGAGGAGGCGCTGCTCACAATGCAGAGCGCCAGCGTTAACGTCGCTGCCAGTGTAAGCATTAGCGGCCACTGCTTCGCTCTACACATGGCTCCGTTTAGCGAGAGATGACCTAAGTTTTTATATATATTTTTACCCAAGAACTCTGGATTAATTGAGTTGCATCTGTTCGCTGGAAGTTGTTGTACACGCCTTTTGTTTGCGAAAATCATCAGAAACTCGTCATATACCCATTCAGTGTAAAAATATACGTATACATCAGATTAGGTTAAAAATTCGCAGTCGCCCCATCCTGAGCTAAAGCCGCCGTGGTGGTACTGTGGTTAAAGTGCTCTACTGCCGACCCGAAAGGCGATGAAGGCCGGCGCCATGATTACACTACTGTGTTAGGTTGAACTAACGTGTTTGATTTTAAGGCAGACTTCAGCTCAAATCACGACGTTCTACAAAGAAGACATGAGCTAAGCATTGCTTACTGATTGCTATGTAGGGTTTAACGTCCCAAAACCACCATATGATTACGAGAGACGCCGTAGTGGAGGGCTCCGGAAATTTCGAACACCTGGGGTTCTTTAACGTGCACCCAAACCTGAGCACACGGGCCTGCAACATTTCCGCCTCCATCGAAAATGGAGCCACCGCAGCCGGGATTTGACACCGCGACCAGCGGGTCAGCAGCAGAGTACCTTAGCCACTAGACAACCGCGGCGGGGCTAACAACTAACTGTCGCTAACAGCCACGTTAGCCTAGTTATTGTGACAACTCATGTAAAAGCGAGAACCAAGTTACCGCATGCACGATTATTTGGTTCACGCATAATAACGTGGGATCAATCGTGCGTAATTATAAAGATAACATACACTTTTGAAGCTCGTTCGCACCGAAGGTGGGGCGGCTAAAGCGGCTAGACGGCAACACGGAAACCGGGAAGAACCTCCTCTCCAGGCGGCGAAAGCGAGAGAAGAACCAGGCGGCAAGCACGATCGCTCTAGGAGCAATTTTTTGACGCCTGCCGAGGCTCGCCACTTTGCCGCAGCCAATCAGAACGCCACGCAGCGGAGACGCGGTGGTGGCGCGAGTGTACGTTTGGGAGAGGCACTGACACGTCATAGCGGCACGTGCGCAAAATCGCGAGATGCCCACCTCTTCTGCTGCATGGCCAGCCGAAAAAGGCATGTGGTGTGAACAAGTTCACGCATCGCCACCTCGCCGCTTCGGAAATCCCACTTGGCCGTTTTGCCGTGCTTCCTTTGGTGTGAATGAGCCTTTAGTACCTCGTACGATGTGCGCGCTGCCTCTAACCGCTTTGGGAACTGAACGGAACCACGTCCTGCTTAAAACGCGTGCGCAGAACGTTTCTGTGCACGCATTTCTAGCGCAGGGTGGCTACATGGTAGGCGCGTTCGCTTCCAAGGCGGCAGGTTCCAGGTTCGATTCAGAGTGCAAACCAGGAACTCGCCGGTTTTTATTAATTCGTAGAAGAGTACACCAACCTGGCGCTAAGTTGTTTCTGGGTACTCATTTCGAAAGGTAGCCCCCCATAAGGTTCTGCGAAGGCCTTTGGGCCTACCTTAATCCACCACAGCATTGGTGAAATAGTGAGTGTCCACCACTGCTGTGGGAGGAAGAGAATCGCTGCCGCCAGGTACCTACTGGCTAAATAGGTACAAGCGCACTTCCTGCCTGGTGCTTGGCACGAACGAAGTTGTAGTCGCTTGGGAGGACATCTACCTTGTGGTAAATGGAGGGCATAGGACCGCAAGGCATAAAATTAAGGTTATGCTTTGTTTTTAGCATCATATGCGAATTGCAGTGTTCATGCGTACACACCACGAGTGCGTACACGCTACATACGCAGTATAAAAATTTGTTAATATTAGAACATGCGCCCACACGAATTCACATTCGAACAGATACAAAGTAATGGGAGTGTCACCAAAGCAGCCACCCGTTTTTTTTATGCATGTTCGCTAGACAAGCCGCGTAAGTACGTTCTTGCTTGTGCCGAAAATCACCATCTCAGCAAATCGCGGGGCACATTGGCAGCAGCACTAGAGATTAGCAACAACTTATGCGCCTTTGTCAACCTATTGACGGAGGTGAGTTTCGCCGACCTAATCACTCTTGTGAAGAAAGAGGATGGGGGGGGGGGAGGCAGTCAGTATTTGAAAAGAGCGGCTCTTTCCCCCTTTTTTACACCGCTGAGATCCGCAGTATACTTATCGAGCGTCCCCGTTGGGTTCAATTATTCTGCCGTCAGTGTAAGAATAATCTTTCACCATCGTTGAAAATTGCGTTGCATTGGGATTTACCGCAGTATAGTTTTAAGTGCAAAATACTCAAGCATCCGGCTTGTCATCCATCGATGCATCTCACGCGGCATTATCACGCTGACATTGTAGCGCTCACTACAGACCACCAAAAGGCAGCAATGCTCAAGGTACGGTTAGAATTGATGAACAAGGTCTAATGTATTAAAATCAACAAATTAGCTCTAAAAGATGCTTGCAATAATTGAGAATTGCTAAAAGAGTTTTGGAAATCCGTGGCTGACTGCGGAGCCACTCCAGAGAGGGCGTCATCACCTCACTGACGAGGTGATGATGCCCTCTCTGGAGCGGCCCCGCTGTCAGTGATGCCAACCCTAGGGATTTATCCCTAGATCTAGGGTTTTTTGTCTCTTTTAAAGATTTGGCGTCTTTTTGTGAAATAGAAGGATTTTTAGAGTTTGAAATGGAACGCTATGCAGCTTAATGACTGGTGTTGCTGAGTAACCACGCGTTTTTAATAATAAGTAACTGCAAAGAATGTAATTTTTTCCTAATTTCTATTTTCATTTCTAACTTTCCTTCGCTATTTCTATTTTTTTCGTTTAAAAAAGCATTGGTGTTGTGCAAGCCGAGAGAGGGCGACTTTGGTTCTGTAACCGCGAGCATTAAGAAAGTAATTTCTTTTTCTATGACGCGAGGTTCTCGCAGTAACAACCTCTGATGTGTGCTGTCGAAGGAACTTGTCCGAACTTGTCGTCGCGAGTGACAACTTTTCTTCGCAAGTGAAGTGCAACTGTGGAAACTCTGAGGTGTGCTGTACACTCGAAGGAACTTTTCCGAACTTGTCTTCACGAGTGACTACTTGGCTTCGCGAGTGAAAGTGCAATTGTGACTTACGGTGCACGGAAAAACGCGCGAAATTCACCTCCGCCGCGCACCTTCACTGTGCAAAGTGAAGGCGCGCTCCACCTGAAATGGCAACTTCTGGACGAAGAGACTTTGAGCAAGGTGAGCCGAGTAGAAAGAAAGCGAAAGCATATGATCAAAAATATTTGACGAGATGGGAAGCTGAACCAAAGTACAAGGGATGGCTAGCAGCGAGTAAAAAAGGGCCCCTGTACTTCTACTGCAAGTCATGCAACGCTGATTGCAAAGGTGAAAAATCGGAAATCGACCGCCACCTCGCAAGCTCCAAGCACAGGAACAGTGCTGCAAGCTTGCAATCGACCCGCACGCTGACATCTATGCCTGCAGTAAGTGGGCAAACTCAGCTAGACAAATCTGTCAAAGAGGCGGAAATAAGGCTTGCAGTGTTCATCACCGAGCATAACCTGCCATTTAATGTCATGGGGCATTTAGTTGACGTTGTCAAAGCAGCATGCGATGATTCCCAAATTGCAAAGAATGTGAGCTGTGGCCGGACGAAGTGCACTGCCATCGTAAAAAATGTTCTTGGAGAGCAGAGTCGCCAAGACATCTGTGAACTCTTGCGCAGACAGAAGTTGTCTCTGCTTGTCGACGAATCTACTGACAAGGGAACAGTGAAGCATCTGTCCCTTGTCGCCCGAGTGATGAATGCCAACGGCGACGTAGTGGATGCGTTTCTTGACTTGGTACCAGTCAGCGACGGAACCGCCCAGTCTCTCTTCAGCAGTCTGAAGGCAGTCTTTACTAGCCCAGAAATTCCATACGAAAAAAAAACTTGATCGGTTTCGCGGCGGACGGAGCAAACGTGATGATGGGTGCTCATCATTCCATCGCATCGATGCTGCAAGCACAAATTCCAGGAATTTTCATTCTGAAATGCATTTGCCATTCCTTCCATCTCTGTGCCTCCTACGCGTGCAAAACACTACCGAGAGGAGTGGAGGATCTGGCCCGCGATGTGTACAACTACTTTTTGTCTCCCAAGCAGACGTCTGCATACCAGGAGGTCCAAAGGCTCGCAGAGGTGAAGCCACATAAGCTACTGCACCCGAGCCAAACCAGGTGGCTGTCCCTCCAAGTTGTTATTACCCGCCTACTTGAGCAGATGCCAGCCTTGATTTCATTTTTCAAAAAAGCAGCCACTGAGGACCACGTGCTTGCCGCAGAAGCCATTCTCGAGAAGCTTAGCAACCCGTCGACTAAGCTTTACCTCGAGTTTCTTGAGTACGTGCTGCCTTTTTTTACAAACCTAAACAAAGAAATGCAGTCCGAGGAAACCAGAATCCACTTGCTGCACGAAAAGGTTTCGGGCACGCTAAATTGCATACTCGAATGCTACATCAAGCGGGACTACTTGGAGGCCACGCCGTTGTCCGATGTGCAGTACAAAGACCCCGCCAAGTTCCTGCTACTAGAGGAAATATATCTCGGAGCAAAGCCAACTGCAGCGCTATCCGGTGGCACACACGGCCTAAACGAAGACCAGATTCACAACTTTAGGCTGCAGTGCTTAGAGTTTTCATCGAAGCCGCTCGTCAGATATACTTGCGGTTCCCCCTGAAAAGTCACCAGTTGAAGAACCTTCGAGTCCAGGACCCGAAAGTTGTCATGGGAAAGACGATTCCATCAATCGCGCCCCTTGCGGTCTCATTTCCCCTGATCGTGAGGGAAAATGAAGTGAATGAACTGGACAGGGAGTGGCGTCTCCTCCGCAACATGGACCTGAGTGAGCACGCTGGCTTGACTGCGAGCCAGTTTGGCACGCCGTATCCCAGATGCGAAGAGGCGATGGATCACAAGAGTTTCCCCTGTTGTCAGCGTTTATGAAAAAACATTTTGTGCCTACCACACTCCAGCGCTGCGGTCGAACGTGTGTTTTCGCAAGTAAATCTGCTGAAAACAAAGCAAAGAAACAGGTTGTCAACAGACGCGTTGTGCGGCTTGCTGCACGCAAAAAGAACCTTGACGGACAGCTCCTGCTACACCTTCCAGATCACTCCATCGCATTTGAAGCGGATGAAGAAAGAAATGTATGGTGATTAAGACTTCAAAGGGTTACGTGTCACGATGTCCAGCATTTTCGTCGTCCTGCAAGCCTCGGCCGGCTGCCTCAGTAATTTGCGCATACAGAGAAGAGACTGTTGCAAGAGCATTTCAAGAGGCGTTGCTGTGAAACCAGAGTCGTCTGCTCGAAGAAGCGAATTCACATTGCTCCACAGAAAATATTGAAAAAAAAGAGCTGCAGTTGCTGCTAGTAAGCTATATCTTAACTCTAATGAGATTCAGAGCAAACGAGGCGAAGAGCAAGCTGCGTTTAGACTAATAAAGGTGAATACCAACGTGCGAAAAGAAAAAAAATGCAATCTGGGGATTTTGTCTGCTATCTAGGGATTTTTGAGGGGTCATTCTAGGGATAAAGCGTTGCCTCAGGTTGGCATCACTGCCCGCAGTCACCTTTCTCCTACGCTTCGCAGGCGCTGCGTCGCTACATCTGATGGATGAAACAACCTGACGAATCTCGCGGCCGCCGACGCGTATATCTCAGCTGCCCTAACCTGCGGCAAGCCGATAAAGCGAAGTAGCACCACGTCACACACTGAGTTTGTGCATCTACCTAACAAGATTCTGCCAGCACAGAGAAATCCTTCATGCTTACCACAAAAATTGTCGTCACCTGGCGCTTTCGTAACGGGTTACGAACGTTTGCGAACGGGAACAGCTGGGTGCCCGTGGGACGCACTTCCTCAGGTTTCATAGTAGCGAAGCCGTTCCCTTTTTCTTAGCACCATGGATTGCAAAAATTTAACACTGATGAAAATTACATTGTGAACGACGACAGACAAGTATATATATATATATATATATATATATATATATATATATATATATATATATATATATATAGATATATATATATATATTTCAACGAGCAAGGTTGCGTAAAAACACAGGTTAATATTCCAGAAACGTTAGCCGCAACAAGCTGGTACAGGCAGGAACCCGGCAAGCACGAGCCACACATGGACGTCAATGTCTTCTTTCACGCTGGTACAGAGCTAGCTCCACTATGCTTCGGTACAATTACTCCCCGCGCAGAAAGGAGCCAACCTGGCGACCTAGGGAAAGGACACGACAAGGGGGTCATAGCACGGTTTGAGGCGTGATACGTGTACTGTTTCACGCCCACGGCAGCGTTGGTCCGAAGGTGGATCAATGGGCTCAACTTCATAGTTGACAGGAGATGTTTGCCGCCCACACGGTAGGGGCCATGATATTTCGACGAAAGCTTCGGGGAAGACCGGGAGGGGTAGACGGGACCCAGAGCCAAACCAGCATTCCTGGGTTATAGTGTACAGTAGATGCAGAGGAATCGTGGTCAATTTTCTGGCGCCATTGGTCTTGTGCGGTAAATGAGCGAGCGAGTTGACGACACTCTTCGGCATACGCAGCTGCTTCGGAAACAGGCGTCGCTTCGGAAACATCAGGCCTGTAAGGGAGAATGGTGTCCATGGAGCATGATGGCTCACGTCCGTACAGGAGGAACAAAGGAGAAAAGCCAGTGGTTGTTTGTGGCGCAGAGTTGTATGCGTACGTGACAAAAGGGAGCACTTGGTCCCAATTAGTGTGGTCGTCAGAGGCGTACAAGGCAAGCATATCTCCAAGGGTACGGTTAAAGCGTTCCGTCATGCCATTGGTTTGAGGATGGTATGCCGAGGATTTTCGATGGACCGTGCGACATGCCTTGAGTAGCTCGTCGACGGCGTTCGAGAGAAACACGCATCCACGGTCACTCAGTAATACACGAGGTGCACCGTGTCGCAATATGAGATGGTGAAGAAGAAAGGACGCAACGTCTTTCGCAGTGGTAGCAGGCAGCGCAGATGTTTCAGCGTAGCGTGTCAAATGATCCACGGCGACGATAATCCACCGGTTGCCTCGAAGAGAGTTGGGTAGAGGACCATAAATATCAATTCCGACGCGGTCGGAATGGTCTCGCTGGGCAGGTTAAGGGTTGAAAAGGCCAGCAGTGCTGTGAGAAGGCGTCTTGCGTCGTTGACACGTGGTGCATGACCGAACATACTGGCGAACGTGCCGATACAGCCGCGCCAGTAGTATCTTAGACGAAGGCGAGAGTAAGTCTTAAAATACTTCAGCGTGGCCACACTGGGGGTCATCGTGAAAGGCAGCGCAGATGTCCGAACGCAAATGACGAGGGATGACAAGGAGCCACCTACGCCGTCCTCGTCACGTAATTGCGGTTATACAACAAGTCTTCAACGGACAGCAAAGTGTCTTGCTGGACGACAGAGGGAGCGTGAAGTCGTTTCTGACGAACTGTGAGAGAGGACGTTCGAGCAAAGAATTGATCCAAGGATCCTTGCGCTGTTCGGATGGCATGTCAGTGATGCTCAACGATGACGAATCGCAAATGGCAGTTGATAAGCAGGCAAGGTCAGGAGGCAGTGGAGAACGGGATAGTGCATCGGCGTCTGAATGTCTGCGTCCTGAGCGATAAACAACATGGATATGGTATTCCTGAAGGCGTAAAGCCCAACGAGCGAGGCGGCCAGTAGGATCTTTCATGGACGCTAACCAGCGAAGCATACTGGCGAAACCATCCACAAACACGGCAATCTCGTTAGGGGGCGAAAGATGAGGCCTTGTAAATTTCGTCGGTGGCGCAGCTCTTGCCTCAGGAACTGCGACTGTTAGTTTTCCTCCTGGGCGTGGTTGAAACGGCGAAGCATGGGGGAAGGAGACCGAAGACGGGGTGAAGGAGATCGACACCGGCTGAAGTCTGGTCGACGTGAGCGGGGGTCATGCGAATCAGGTGTCACATGCGATTCTGATTGCCGAGGTAGGTTGCCAGAATGCTGCACATCATTAAAATAGAATCCACGGGCGACGAAAGTAGCGCGCGACATGTCCTGGAATACCACAGTTGTAGCAAACGGGCCGGTTATCCGGAGTACGCCAAGAGTTTACAGGTGCTCGAGGTGGTGGAAAGGGCCGATTTACCAGATAAACTGAAACTGGTGACCTGTAGTAGTTGGTGGCTGGACTGTATGAAGGGAGCGGCGGTTGGGCAGGAGCTCGGCGGACGGCTTCTGCATAAGTCAGCGGTGCAGCCAGTGATATTGGGGATGTGGGCGAAGGGAGAGCCTCGGCACTTGCGTCTAAATAGCACGGCGAAGTGAGTGGTCCAGTGTTGTGGGGGTCTCGTTGATGGTGGTGACAAGAGAGAGCTGTCGAGCAACTTCCTCCCGGATGTACTGCTGAATTGAGCCATTAACACGCTCTGGTCGGGGCCACTGCTTTTGCACTCCAAGGCCGAAATATCAGCTGTTTGCGTATTAGCGCGACGTGTAAAACTCGTTGCTTGCGCAGCTCATCGAAACTTTGACATAACTGAATCACGGCCGTGAAGGTCTGTGGGTCTTTGGCCACAAGCATATGAAAAGCTTCGTCATCAATGCCTTCATTATATTCTTTATTCTGTCAGCCTCGGTCATCCTGGCATCAACTCGCCTACAGAGGCTGATCACATCCTCAATGTAGCTCGTGAAGCTCTCACCATTTCGCTGAAATCATCCCCGCAGTCCCAGTTCAGCACGAAGCTTACGCATGGCTGGATGACCGAAAAACGAGGTGACGGCCTCTTTGAAAACCGACCAGGTGGGGATGTCGGCTTGGTGGTTGGTGAACCATAGGTTGGCCAAATCCGTCAAGTAGAAGATGACGTGAGTCAGCTTCGCAGGGTCAACCCACTTGTTAATCGCGCTGGCATGCTCGTACGCTGCCAGCCAGTCCTCGACATCTTGATCTTCAGTGCCGTTGTATACTGGTGGGTCACGCAGACGAAGTACACCAGAACACATGACAGGTGGCAGCATGGAAGAGCCTTGTGGGGGATCGACGCACTCGGTCATCGCGGACTGAGCTGGCGCCACTATGCTTCGGTACAATATATATATATATATATATATATATATATATATTATATATATATATATATGTATATATATAAGAGATAGATAGATAGATAGATTTCATGGTTAAGATATAGTTTTGATTCGAAATGAGCTGAATTGTGCAGCTTGCATGTGTTGAAGTACCACTTTATATACAGATTGATATTTTACTTAGCCCAGCTTGTGGACTTCAAGCAGAGCCGTTTATTTTATGGTGTACACTTACTATTAAACTTATTGACACTTCTGCGCATTAAAAAAGAGAACCAAAGTGGTTCGTTGAGTCATGAACTACGCATGCGTCGGGCATATGCTTCGGATAACCATGCGCGAATAACATAGTCCAATAAAAAAATACGAACATTCTCTACATTCAATAACGATGCCTATTACTTGAAAAACTTCCTTAGAACCGCTTTTCAATACAACACATCCGAAAAACGAGACTTAGCAGCTGCCAAATAACACACGTTTGCCGCATCAAGGTGGTTTACTATTCTGCAAAACTGTGATATTGTACGAACAAATGAGGAAATACATATCTTCCTATGGCGCAACGTTGAGCACCCCCAATTCTGTAACTATGTCG